TAGGATAACTCAACATTCATCTATTACAAAAGAAATATCGGAATCTAGAGATATAAACATTTTTATTTTGTCTAATCAATGAAATTGTCCATATATATTTCTTTTTGTGTTACTTGTTCCTCAATAATTTCGCAGTCGATGAAAACTAATTAGACATATTATGCAAAGACTTTTTATAAATAAGTTATATGAATATATTTTTTTTTGTTTAGTCTTCGACATTGTCTTAGTTTTCGTGGTTGTTCATTACAATGGTCCGACTTTGCAATTCTATCGGATGGTCTTGATTAAATAGTTTTTTTTTTCGACGATTCTTATTAATGTGTGTATTTTCTTCTTAATCGGATATTATATATTTTTTTTTTTCTGTCTTGTAAATAATAACAGTGTCAGATAGATTGTTTGATTCTATTTATAAAAACGAGTTCTCAAATATGAACAATGATTATTAAATTTCTCTCATTTTCTAGATTATCTATATATATATATAATCATGGCTTTTTTTCCGGGTAAGTTGTTTTTTTTTTTGTTATGAAAGAAGATAAATAAATATTCATATTATTCTAGGAGCAACAAAAGATCAGATGCGTGCTGATCAATTAGTTAAACGACGTCAACAAGAACATGAACAAATGGAAATGAAAAAGAGAAAAATTGAAGAAGATAATCGTATGCAAGCTATTGAAGAAAAATTTAAAGCACATTATGATGCTGTTGAACAAATGCTTAAAACTGATACAGTTGGTTTAGTTTCATTAGATGAAATGAAAAAAAAACAAGAAGAAATGATTCATGCACGTGAACAACAATTAGCTAGAGAAAAAGAAGCTAAACTTAGTGAATCAATGAGAAATAAATTAAATAATCGAAAAGATACAGGTATACATCAACGACCAAATAAATTATCATTTGCTGATGAATGGGAAGAAGAAGAAGAAGAACAACAACAACAACAACAACAACAACAAGATAATGATGAAGAAGATAATGAACCAATCACAAAAAAACAACAGTTAAAAAACGAAGAGGTACAGATCATAGAAGACTCGAAAAGGTGTTAATTGTAATGTAATTCAGATAGGAATGCAACAGTGACAGTGGTCATCGGTGCCACCATAGATAGGCGTACTATCACTAGAGTCCAGGTAGGACCCGATGGACTCTAAGCGTCACTGTTGCATCATTAAACCTAGAGTGTCTATGATAATTATTGACAAGAAACTCCTAATCCCGATTTTAAGAATGAAATTATCGTAGCGGTCTCAAATGACAATGTGTTCGAATTTTCACATTGTGTGGAAAGTAATTGATAGGTCCTTCAAGGGTAGTCGACTTTTTCCGACCGAAAATTTTTTTTTATTTTTGTTTTTTTGTTTGATATACTTTTCAAATTATCCTGGCTACCGAGCATATATTAAGAACTATAAAAATCGAAAAGATGAAATAAAAGCATCAGAAATTACACATTATTTCACTGATTAACTTTTTCTATTTACACTGTAAAGTGTTTAGGATGTCTAATCTTTTTTTTTATTCGAAAATATAATGTACCACTAGTTTTTGCTAGGATTTACAAAAAAGAGCTCCAATTAAAAAAAAATTGCGCATTACTGTGGTTATACTCAGTGTTTTGATTTCTTTATTCGAATGAAAGAAGAAAAAAAAAATAGCCACTCCAAACAGTGTCTAGTTGTGTAAAACCATTTCAATTCTATCAGATGTATTACAGTTGAGAAAGCTGAGGACCCGTGTTCTTGTAAATCTGGACCCGAAAAAAAATTAAAAATTTGAACCTGAACCCGACCGGGCTCAAACCCTAGGTTTTCTTCATCAATACGTGTCACCATTTGTGTAAAATGAAAAAGTAGAGGATCATGGTTTTAACGATTTATTCGCCACTCTCTGAAAAACAAACTCAACGTACAGTTATATCTTGTTACTATATTTCTCATTTGGGATAATTGAGTGTGACAAAAAAAAATAAAAGGTTGGACCCGGATCCGCAGCTCTCCAAAGCTGAGCGGAATTGACTTATAACCTGTGCGATCCTGATATCTCCTAGCAGAAAGCATATGAGAATTTTTAGTCTATGATTTTACTCTCTATTACTCTGAAAGTTTCGACATTTTCTGATGAACTGTTCTCGAAAGGTACCGGTCAACGAGGCTTTGTCAACTCACGCCTGACTTAGACATTATCTTACTTTATAGAAATCATCTCTTTTTTTTTAATATATTTCTATGTCTTAAATCAAAACTAAAACTTCTTCTAATCTTTAGTAAAAACAACAAAAATATTTCATATTTGTTTTTATCTTCTAGCCTATTACAACTGATGATAATTCATTATCAAATGATCTACCAAAAAATGAAGATGTTGATAGTAATGATAGTACATCAGAACAAGAGCTAACACCTGCTGAACTTGATCGTCTTGTTGCTGCAAGTAAAAAGAAACGTCTTGGAAAAAATCCAGGTAAGAAAAATTTTTTTTGATTCTATACAATTATATTAAATATTTCATCATTTAGATGTTGACACAAGTTTTTTACCAGATAAAGATCGTGAAGAAGAAGAACGAATATTACGTGAAAAACTTCGTCAAGAATGGGTTGAAAAACAACAAAGATTAAAAAATGAAGAAGTTGATCTTGTTTTTAGTTATTGGGATGGTTCAGGACATCGTCGTTCAGTACGAATTAAAAAACGTATGACAATACAAATGTTTCTATCAAAAGCACTTGAAATACTTCGTCGTGAAAATATGTTTAATGAATTAAAATCTGCATCAGTTGATCAACTTATATTTGTTAAAGATGATGTTATACTTCCACATCATTATTCATTTTATGATTTTATTGTAACACGTGCACGTGGTCGTACAGGACTTTTATTTACATTTACAGAACCACTTAAACCAAATGCTATTATTGAAGTACCAGCAACAGCTACAACAACTGGAATGAATACAAATGATTCAACATCATCATCAACAAATGATAATCAATCATCACCAGGACAAATATCTCATGCAGGAAAAATTTGTTTACGTGCATGGTATGAACGAAATAAACATATTTTTCCTTCATGTCGTTGGGAACCATATGATCCTGAAAAACGTTGGACTACACATGAACAACCAAAAAATCGTTTTTGTGTTAAATAATGTTTATGTTTGTTTTTTGTCTTGTATAAAATATAATAAACTTTATTTTATTGTTAATATAAAGACGAAGAAGAAGAAGAAAGATATCAAAATAGTTTGATATTGTTTCTTATTTTATTTATTTTATTTATTTTGATGAGTACAAATATTCTTTGTCTGCTGATTCTATTGGTTTGTCATTTAAAAATGTCAACTACAGAACAAGTGTCATCATCATCATCATCACCAATTGTTGTTACTACATGGCCATTTATAAATGCAACAAGAAATGCTTTTGCTAAGATGATGACACCTGGTGCAACATGTTTAGATGCTGTTGAAGTTGGTTGTCGAACATGTGAAGATGAACAATGTGATGGTAGTGTAGGATGGGGAAATCATCCAGCTGAAGATGGAGAAACTACATTGGATGCTCTTATTATAGATGGACGTACAATGAGTGTTGGTGCTGTTGCAAAGTACATCGATTCTTTCTTTTTTTTTTTGAATAAGTTTTAAAATTCAAATGAAAATTTTAGTTCATTCATTTTTTTTTCTATGAAATTGTATCCGAAAAATCTTTCTATCATAACACTATAATTACAGTAGATTGTTTTGAAATTACAATGATATGAATCTTTCTAATTTTTTCATTATGCCTTTACCTTCGTTTAATTTTAGTTTACATCGTATTAAAAATGCAATTGGTGTAGCTCGTGCTGTTTTACAATATTCAACACATTCATTATTAGTTGGTGAAAGTGCAACTAAATTTGCAATTGACATGGGTTTTAAAGAAGAAGATCTTCATAGCAATGGATCTATTGAAACATGGAATAAATGGAAAAATGGAAATTGTCAGCCAAATTTTCGACGTAATGTACAACCAGATCCAACTACTAGTTGTGGACCATACACACCTAAACCTCAATGTGGTAATATTTACATATATAATATTGCATTTTGTAAAACACGATCTAAAAAGAATGTTGACATATGAGAGAAAAAAATTTGGACACCGCTCTTCCATAAGACCGACACAGAGCGCGTCAGGCGTTATGAATATACGATCCAGATAGAGTCCAAAATGGCCTTTAATCGGAATTGGATAGTCATCCTGAAGATATAAGATACTTTTTTCTTATTCAGTGACTAGTTCATCCTTCACATTTCTCAGACGACTAGAGCCCATCGAATTCAAATCTTTTTCGGACCCGAACCCGACAGATCCTAATCATAGATCACATATTCATAAAATCTTATTATTTTATAGATAAAGAGTTTTCATCCCATCGTCAATTACCATACGGTGAACATGATACAATTGGTATGGTATCTTTAGATTCAAATGGTAATATGGCAGCAGGTGGATCAACAAATGGTCTTCAATTCAAAATTCCAGGTCGTGTTTCTGATACAGCATTGATTGGTAGTGGTGCTTATGTTGATAATGATGTTGGTGGTGCATGTGCTACAGGTGATGGTGATGTTATGCAACGTTTTGTTCCTTCTTATCATGCTGTACAATTAATGCGACAAGGTGTTGCACCTGATGAAGCATGTTTAGATGCAATAAAACGTATTGCTCAATTTAATCCGAATTTTACTGGTGCTGTATTAGCACTTGATAAAAATGGACGATATGGTGCTGCTTGTCATGGTATGGACTCATTTCCATATTCTGTTATGAAACAAGGTTGGATAGATCCAGAAGTTTTACAAATTCCTTGTCTTAAACCATGAGTAAATTTTTTCTTTCGTTTTTTTTTGCTACTTCTAATTTTATTGTCCAATTGATGATAAAGACATAAGTAATTTAATCATTCTACTTTGATTCCTTATGAATTCCAGATAAAATGAACAATATTCAACAACCTTTAAAAATATGTTTTAAATGTTATAAAAATATATTTTTACGTTATATAAATATAAATATAATAAATGCCAAAAAAAAACCAGTACCAACAGTAAGTTTTGTTGGTGAACGTTCACGTCTTTATCCATCTATTTACTGTTGGGGTTATATTGCTACAGGTGCATTAGGTGTTTTTGATTTTGTTAATAAACGACCTGATCCAAAACAAACTGATCCAACACAACAAACTCGTCTTCATCGTTCAATTCCTTATAGACATCCATTTTCTTATGAACATCGAATAAAAATAAATCGTATAGCATGTGGAAATGGTTTTACATTATTTTCATCAAATACATTAAAATATGATAAATTATGGGCATGTGGCCTTAATACAGATAGTCAATTGACATTTTTTAAAGATCGTAATCATCCAAAAGGTTTTGGTGATTATGTTATTGTACCAAAAATAATTCATTTACCTATGAAACATCCAAGATCAACAAGAATTATACAAATAGCAGCTGGTAGAGCACATTCAGTTGTTTTAACAGATAAATCAGGTTAGTCGAACGAAAAAAAAAAACATTGACTTTTGACGTTATATTCTATTTATGTAAATCTTCGTCCAGGATGCGAGTCCCTGATATATGTATGACAAGCGACTATATATACCAAGAGAAAGGAACAACAACTGAACACTAGTGTTTGATAGAAACTTATCTTCTACTTCATTTATCACAAACTTCTATTTGCAAACATGTGATTCAATGACATATAGCACTGCAGTTAGATGAGAGCGGCATATCAATCCCATGGAGTGTATTCATAGATGATCTTGTTGGTAGCCAGTAATTAAATGTTGACATTCACATTTTAAATTTATCGAAATTTTATGAAACAACGAATGACGCAGTAGATAGAAGTTTCAAAATAAGGAAACATTATAGAAGATTATTAAAAATTCTTAAAACAACTACTATTTACTCTTGTATAAGAGTTCATGCTCAATTAGAAGAGTTCATTTGCATTTAGACTTATATCTAATGCTTCTTGTCTTTGAATAGATGATTAATTATTGTTTAGATTCGCCACTATAATGTTAAGAAATTTATTTTCGCTGACTTCATTTTTCAGTATTACGATTAATTTTCATAGTGCCCACCAACGACTACTGAATAGCATTGATTTGGTCGAAAAAAAAGTTTATTTTAAGATTCTAGGCTAGCGAAATGAAGATATTTTATTAAATACAAAAGAATGAGAGATGTGTAAGTACACCCATAAGAGAAATAACGGTGTGTGGATGCGACTGAAGAGAAGATGCACGCCACTCACCCACGTTCATGTTCAGAAATTAATTGATGAATATGAGAGCAGGAATTATCGTAGATATCACATTTTAGTAATTATGAAACTGAAAAGAAATTTCCATTGCTCAGTTCTTGGACACATCTCACCTCTTGAGATTTATACTTGTCTTATTTACGTTAGATTTGTACATAAATAGAATATTACTTCATTTAAATTGATATTTCGTATTAAAAAAAATTTGTTCTATTTTTTAGGTCTTTTCTCATTTGGTAATAATGCATTTGGTCAATGTGCTCGTCAAATAGTACCTGATGAAATTTATAAAAATAGTATGTTAATACATTCATTTAATATTGATTTAAATGAAAATGATGATAAAATAATTGATATTGTTTGTGGTCAAGATCATACATTATTTCTTAGTGAAAAAGGTCATGTTTATGCTTGTGGTTTAAATACAGATGGACAATTAGGTATTGGTCATTATGAATGTGTATCACGACCAGAACGTGTTCGTGGTGATATTGAACATGAACATATTGTACAAATAGCATCAAAAGGTGATTCTATATTAGTTTTAAATAAATCCGGTGATGTATTTGGTTGGGGTAATAATGAATATCGTCAATTAGGAATAACTGATGAGCCAATTGATTCACCGAAATCATTACAATGTGCTCAACCACGACATCTTCGTTTTCGTGATGGATCTTCATTGAAAAACATTAAATGTATTGCTTCTGGTGGTTCATTATGTTCAGCTGTTGATCATCAAGGTAAATTATATATGTGGGGTTTTGGTTTACTTGGTTTTGGACCAAAACATACAACAATTGATATACCACAACAAATACCAATGGAATTATTTGGACAAAATGAATTTAACTCTAATGTTCAAATTGATTATGTTACATGTGGTTTACTTAGTACAGCAGCAATAACAAATAATGGAGAATTATTTATGTGGGGAAAAAATCGATATGGTGCATTAGGTGTTGAATTTAATGAAGATGCACCTATGCCAATGCGTGTTTTTGTACCTGCTCGTGTTATTTCTGTAACACTTGGACCTGATCATACATTTGCTTTATGTAAAGGATATGTATAAGTTTAAATAAAATTATAAATTTTATTTTCTATTTATTAATAAATGTCGATAATAAAATCAGTAGCAGAATTAGAGGGGGAAGAGGCAATCACACCTTCCTTCTAAAAAATTCTTTATTTATTGACCGTAAAAAATGACGTATAATTTAACAAAAAAAAATAGACAGACATAATGCTTGAATGATTAAATTATAATAGTTAATAACGAAATTCGTTCCTCAGACATAATTAATATTTAAAGCATTATTAACATTTTGCTTAATGCATAAATAATTTATGACAAAAAGAAGAAAAAGTAAAATAAGATATATTATGACAGTCAACTTGACGTCATGCAGTTTATTTCAATTGCAAATAAAATATAGAACAACTGTTATTTTTTCCTGTAAAAAATGAATAATATATATTCATTATTTTGTAATGTCCTGTCAATTTCCTTGTTTGTCACGTGAAATAATATTTGAACATATGTTAATATAAAATTTACATCAAATAACACTTGCTTGTCTATGCTATAGATAAGAAATGGCTTTTAATAAAATCTAGATCAAATTATTGTTTGAAGTTCTCAAAGTTCCAATCAACAATATAATAAGATTAGCATTTGCAATCGCTTGAAAAATTTCTTGAAAATAAAACAAAATTAGTAATATTTTATCATCTAATAAGCAAATTTTATGAGACAATCTAAAATTGGTTTCTTTTTAATGCATCATGTT